TGGGTAATGAAGGAAAACTTTAATATAAGTTTAACATAACAGCAAATGTACAACGTTTCGACAAGGTTTTGTACCTGATGATGACAAAACCTTGTACATTTGCTGTTATGTTAAACTTATATTAAAGTTTTCCTTCATTACCCATTCAAGCCGTCTACATCCATGATTAATACTGGTATATATGAAGGTTTGTGTATCCTTAGAGAACATCAAGGAAACTAAGGTCACCAAATTAAGCCCAGTGTTCCCTAGAGTATTTATACTGGTGTAAAAGGTATTCAGGTATCTATATAGATTTTGTAAACTATAGGGCCAAATTCTAAATATCAATAAATCAAAACTACAGAAGTGGTTTTTCACTATCTTTACAAACCTTATGTTTATGGAACAAGTTGAAGCTTATATTCTTGTAAGCCTAACAGTCATAGTAGTAGGTTTTCCTAATGAATTGTATAAATGAAACACTCAGCACAGAAATACAATTTTCTGATATCAATGGTTGTTTATTTAATGGTAATTATCTCTAAACTTGATTTTTTAACTTCAAAAACTTTATAAATATTTTTCTGAAACATCATTTCTAAAAATAATAAAAATACTTTCTTTCATCTTGGACTTTCATTTTTATATTGTGTGTGTGAAACATTGTAAATGTATCTAACAAAACTTTTATTTCAATAAGACTACAAATTTTGTTTTTAGTCTAAAAACATTATACAAAATTTAGGAAAATTGACATTTAATCCCTGACATACAAAATGAAGAAATGTACAGGAATGAAACAAAACTTTTTAAAATAATACTATTAATGAAGTTTCAGTCAATTTTAACTTCTTTAATATTTTCCTTCGTATATTTTTTTGTCTATTCAAGCAATTAGATGACTGTATAAAAAATATTTAACTTCTGAATGATTATTACTCCTTTACTATCAAATTGCATTATGCAACTATTTATGCCTACACATTCACTAACCTTAAAAACATTTAGTATGCTGTTCATATTCAAGCAGTTCTTGACCA